GTTCGGGCCCCTGGGAGTAATTTTTTTTCGCTATAGCCTTTGGTAGTTTTCATTGGTGATTATTTCTTTCAACTGAAAACTCGTATTTGAGGGTTTTTTTGAACGAGAAAGCCGAATCTGGCCTTTGTTTTGCGATACAATCACGTTAAAATACACTTTCCCTATAAAAATTTCCTTTTTTTGACAAAAACCCATCATTGTGTACTAATAATGCCACATCTATTCAAAGTTTATAGGTTTTTTGTGGCTAGAAACATTTTTAGAGTAATAATAATGCAATTACATCTTGTATTTTTAGTCATTTGATCGTTCCGTATAGTTTGAATATCAAAAACTTCATTGAAATCATGAGTAAATGAACGAATGATCAAAAAGTGTTCCCAGAACGATTTACATTCAAAGGAAAATTAGCTTTTCAACTAGTGCAACTACTCAATTCGATTCATTTTGATCCAACGAGCAAACCCTCCAATACGAGTTTTCAGTTGAAAGAAATAATCGGCAAGTTGTTTTTAAAATTCATCCAAATGCCTTCTAGTATGAAAACTACCAAAGGCTATAGCGAAAAAAAATTACTCCCATGGGCCCGAACGGGATATGTGGCGTAGTTAGTCTGGCCTAGGCCTACACCGTGGCATATGTCGTTTGGCTCAACTCCTGCAACCCATAGTGATGTATCCTTGTTAGTTTCATCTGTTTTTCGTTCGCATTACAACTGCAATCTCCATGTGAACGAGTTGAAAGTAGGAAAAAAAATAAACTGCGAAAATATCACGTGTACATTCAAGAAACTCTCACTATTTCCATCGAATTCATTCTACTGCATTAAATAAGAACAATGATTATTTCGTCACGCGAAGCACAAATTCAAATCATACGTTGCTATTTTCAAGTCAGTTGGATCTGGTCAAACTCCCGAACACGTGCAATTGATGCATACATCTGGAGTGGACAGTCTAGAGAGATGTGGGTGCATACAACAAAGCATTATATAAAATATATTTGAAATTTCCTTTGATTGTCGAATGCAATCATGTGTGCATGCCGTGTGCTCAATATCGCCAATAACTCTTGTAAATTGAACGCAACTCAGAATTCGAACAGAGAAAATCAATTAAAAGTTTTGAACACCACTTTTTTTTATCATTGAGTGATTCTGGTCCATGTGTATTGACGCCAATGATTTTAAAAGGCATAAATCGAATCTCCGAATTCTATTGGGAGAGCTATTCGGGGCCCAGTTCTTGAAAGTAGAAAATTACACAAAAATACCAAACGGCTGTTCATAATCAATTAAGGGTGCCTGAAAATCATATGTTTTTCCTTTTTCGGTATTGAAACGTGAATTTTTTTTATAGAAAACGCATCGCAGAACAATGAGGTAGGAAAACACATTCGCCAGAGAGAAAAAAATCCCACCAGAACCAAATGAATGGTTCGGAAATGGAAATTTATAATGATAAACAGTTCTTGCTTCAGTCATTTTTGCATGATTCTAGAAGGGAAAAAAATGTGCGCGCCAATTGTTGTGTTCATAATTTTCACTTAAAAATCAACAAAATTTAAAACAAAAAACACGATTTTTGTATATGCAAATACAAACCAGATGGTGTATTGTCACCAACATCTGATAATGCGTGAGTGACTGTGCAAGATTCCAAACCGAGAGTTAATAATCGTGTTGCTTTTTTATCGCTACTCTACTCAACGCACAAAGCGATGAAAACAAAATATATATGCAAAATATGCCTCTTGAATTACGAAAGCATAAACACGCGCATACAATAATTCCTTCATATTTGTCAATTACCAATTGGCAATGTCATTTGATTTAAACGAACGAAAAAAAAAGAAGATCGTCATCGATCAATTCCCGGACATTTAAATTTCCGCTTTTCATCATCGTCGTATAATGCGCAAACATCTTGGATGATTACTGTTTGCAACCATAAAATGCACAACTAAGCAAAACAAAACAACAAACCGCAGAAAAGAATGAAAACATAACAATAATGTATAATGTAAGCGCTTCATTGCCTGCTTCTCTGTCTCTTTTCGGTTCTCGCTTGACATCGGCACATAATTAAAATGACGGCTTCATTTTGTTTCGCTTTATTTTATTATTATTATTTTTTCTCTTTTTGCTTGAAATTTTTCCATTATATGGCCTTATCTGCGTTTTACTTATTAGCAAATAGAAACGAATATGAAAGACAGAGAGTATGTATGCGCGCGCACTCTAACGTTGTGGCTAGAACAATCAGCTATAAAAGTGACTAAATGACGACTGCGCGCACGCTTTTTCGCTTTATGAACTAGACAAAACAATGAAGTCAATGGAACACACAGACGCACACAACCACTTGCACACATACAACAACAAAAAAAATTATGATGACGATGACTGCGACAGTAGCGTTGAACAAAAGCAAACTGAATCGCGCACTGATCCACTTGCAATACAAACCGATTGCAATCTGGTAATCTATCAACGCCGCAAATCGTTACATAAAAACGGAAAATTGCTAATCTACCTTAGTCAGTATCTCACTCTATTTATCTTATTTTCTTGCTTTAATGCTCGTTCTTGCTCGTATTTGCAATTGAATCTTTTATTGTTTTGAATAGGTTTTTGTCTCGTGTGTCTTTTTTTTCTCAAGTTGTCGGCAGTTTGTACTCATGCGATTCCGTTTGTTGTTGTTTTTTTTTTTTTTATTTGTGCGACGAATATTCACACATCGCCTTTTTTTCACCATAATTTATAAAATGGCGCAAAATATAATGATGATTAATAATAATACCTGAACGAAATGTATGTACGTGATATTGTATGGGAATGAACGAGTAAGTAAATGAAAGAACGAGTGGATAGAGAGAAACAGTGGCGCAGTAAATTACATAGAGAATAGAGAAGACAGGAATTCAAGTCTTTTGTGATCCGTGTACACGTGCCGCAAATGAATTAAAATGAATTTAACAAAAATCGTACGTTATGTCGTTGAAAATTTATGTGTACGGCTCGTGTTGATTTGTCATTTTGTTGATTTACATCATTGCATGTTTGCTGTGCGATCGATTACACGATGATTTTCGTTCGTGTCGATGCCATACGATGCATACGAATTGCATCAAGAATTCAATGAGACGAAATTATGGAGCTAGTGTACAGCTCGTTAAATTTGATCACATTGGCAAGTACCGGCTGACACAAGCACACACGCGCACACATCCAATACGAAGAAATCACTTTTTTTCATATCTCATCAAAATGATACTTTTAATGGCTTTCAAACGAACTGATTATGGAATATATCGCTATTAGAGAATGAATAAAAAAATTAAACAACATCATTACAGTTGGCGTCGTTGGAAATTGTAAAAAGAACATTCAAAACGGTTGAGAGCTTGACGTTTTTGAAATTATTTTATTTGCATGCGCTTTTTTCATCAATTTCTATCATTTCATTTCGAAAGTTCACTATTGATATTTTATTTGTTTTTTACGAGAGCTTTTTTTGTTCCTTTCAATCCACATAGAAATCCAATAGTTTAAATTGGTTTCTTTCGTTATATAAATGGAAAGTCATTACTTCTTTTCGTGGCGTTGGTTTTTATTGAGACCATTTATAAGGTACATTTACCGAAACTATCATTGAATTTAATGAAAAAGGGAAACGAAAAAAAAAATCGAAAATTATCACATTGAAAGCTATTAATTAACTGAAGCACTTGTATTTATACAAATTTTATTGCGGCCAAAAAGTGTCTCATAACCTAATTAGAATACGAGAACATGACACACCAATATCAATATTAGTCATTTCGTCTCTGCATTGTTGGTGCGTGTGTCTGTGTGTCTGCCCGAAGGGAATAATTGCTTGAATCGGCGTGCATTGAAAAGTTCCATCAAAGCTTTGATTAGGTTTCCAACTATGCCTGTAGTAAATATGCTTATGAATATTGAATCACGTCAGTCGCCTTTCACACACAATACCTGGGCAAAAATGTCACATTTTACGGCCAATCCACTATCATTTTTTTTTTTTGTTTCGTCTTCTTCGCATCCAGCATTCTATGTGCCACTATGATTGACATAGATTTTTACATAAGGATCAACATACAATCGCATAGGCCATAAGAACCAATAATGCATAACATAGATAAAAAAGAAATACAAAGTAGCGAGACAGAGACGGTTTATGAAAAGCTACGAAGATATCGTATAAAATTGGAGTTGTAACACAGACCAATAACAAAACCAGAAGAACATGAGCAACAGCGGCATTAGAAATTGTATCGTTTCATAAACAGAACATTTGAGAGAAGGAAACAATTTTCTATATCGTTCAAATATTGTGTAATTGGGTCACGGATAAAACGTATTTAATATATTTCCGTATGGTTTGGAAAGCAATTGTGTGAGCATGGCTTTTGTTTAAAAAGTAAAATAGAAACAGAAAACAGAAACGCAATCGAATTTGCTGCACAGCCAGTGTTAGAAAGAGAAGACGAAAACAGAAACAGACGATGGAGGGTTGGGGGTGGCAGGAACGGTTGTTTTAAAGGAAATAATGTAAACTGTGTAAAAAGAGCGCGTACAAGGGAATGTGTTGTGTTATGTTTCGATTGAAAAAAAGTTCATTGATACGAGGCATATCGAGTCATTGGGTCAGTCGGTCGATACAATAAATCCAATGTGGATGTGAATAAATTGATGTCGACCGCGAAGTATCCACACTTCACATTGCATGTGGAACCATATCGTATTATCGATTTTGCCCTTGATATGCTGGCCCATTTCTTGGTCAACGATATGCATACCTTTTTTCTTCACATGGAAATACCTTTGTTCACAATCAATTTGACATGTTGTTATGCTATGCACATTTCATTCAATTGCCATTGAGTTAAAACAAAAATATTAGCATAAGATATGTTTGATGATCGCAATTAGACCAAATTACTTAATATTAGTTTTCTCTTCCTCTCATTTCCAACAGGTTGCGATAAAAATTATCGACAAAACATGCTTAGACGATGACAATTTAGCGAAAACATATCGAGAAATTTCGATACTAAAATTATTACGACATCCGCACATAACGCGACTGTATGAAGTGATGGAATCAAAGAATATGATTTATTTGGTAACCGAATATGCGCCGCGCGGTGAAATTTTTGATCATTTAGTTGCTAATGGTCGGATGAAAGAAGAAGAAGCGGCACGAGTTTTTGCTCAAACCGTATCGGCTGTGGAATATTGTCATAATAAGGGTGTTGTACACCGTGATTTAAAGGCAGAAAACGTGTTATTAGATAACGATATGAATATTAAGGTTTGTATTATGTAGTTCGTTCAATTTGTATTATGTTTAATTTTCATTACAATGCTCGTGAAAGAGAGAGAGAGAGAGAGAGAGAGAGAGAGAGAGAGAGAGAGAGAGAGAGAGATGAAAAGCAATATGTGAAATCGAGTTCAATGACTCGCACTCTTTCTCTCGTTTCTCAAGTACAGAGCATTTCTAAATTTGAAATTTTCGCATTGTTCTTATCAAATCTCTTACTAAGTGTATAATCGTTTTCGAAACATTTTTATTCCTTTTTTCACATCTATTTTTCGTTTCTTTGTGCGTTGTTCATTTGCAGTTAGCTGACTTCGGCTTTAGCAATACATTTGTACAAAATACATATCTCAAAACGTGGTGCGGTTCACCGCCGTATGCTGCGCCAGAGGTAAAGCTTTTCACACAATAAAAACCAATTCGATTCCACTTCATTTCTATACCATTTGAATCACGTTTTAATTTTCGCACCTGATGTTGTGTGCGCTAATTTATTTTCTTTCAGGTTTTCTTGGGCCTTGAATATGATGGTCCGCGAGCCGATATTTGGAGCTTAGGTGTAGTTTTATATGTATTAGTTTGTGGTGCTTTGCCATTTGATGGTGCAACATTGCATGACCTACGAAGTATGGTTGTGTCAGGGAAATTTCGCATTCCATTTTTTATGTCACAGGGTAATTATAATTACTTTTGTTTTGCCAATTGAAAATGTGTGTGTTCATTTTCGATTCTATTTTGTTTGCATTTGAATCACGACAGATTGTGAGCACTTAATTCGGCACATGCTGGTGGTGGAGCCGGAAAAGCGATACACATTAAAGCAAATATCACAGCATCGTTGGATGCAATGTAAATTACCATCGATAAATGATGACTGTAGTACGACGATACAAACTGATTCGATTGAAACGACTGGAACTTTAGACTCAATTGTTATAAATCATATGTTACAATTGCCAAATTTAACATTTGACGAAATTGCCGAATCGGTACATCAAAATACATTCAATCATATTTACGCTATTTATAATTTGCTAGTGGATAAATTGCAAGCGAAACGAAATGAACAGCAACGTTTGCAACATCATGCCAGTATAGGTTATACAAAGTGAGTATCTTTTTTCATTTCGGATTTAATCGAATTAATTTATACCGGATTCTATTTTGGTTGACAGATCGCGAAAAGCAAGTATTACAACGGGTGTTGTTGAGCGTACGGAGGCATTGAAAAATGAGGCGCTCGATCGACTGAGCCCATTGAGCAGTTCGGTTAATACGTTTACATCATTCCCAGAAATTAGTGATCCAACAAATGAATTTGAGAAATTCGTTGACATGGACATTGATACACAGCATCAAGTGATATCGCCGGAATTCAATTCGACGAACATAACATATTCACATTTAGGAACAAATATGTCGAGCGGTAGTACACGACGGCATACCGTCGGACCGGGCGATGTTGAACATGAACAAGCATTGGCCAATCCATCCACCGTACCAATCAATTTCAGATTTGGCAATGATAATGCACCACGATTGCCCGTCAATTTGCCAATGATGCAAAATCAACCGTTACACAATTTTACGATCAAAAATCAACACCTTCTCAAATTGCCCACAGTTATGGAAGCGAGTAAGTGGTTTTCTTTTTAAAAAATTTTATTCGTTTTCGATGGGTGAGATTCATTTGGCAAACATTTTCATTTAAAATAGGTTCGTTTGGTCGTCGTGCATCGGATGGTGGTGCAAATTTGCAAATTTATTATACAACATCGGCAAGTAGCGGACAATCAGTGGAACCAATTTATGCAAATTCGGCCAATGCGAAGGATCTTCGAATCGGTGTCGATCCATTGCAACAACACAATGACAATATGGCCGTCACCGTTGAAGGTGGAAACGACGAACCAAATGATGAAATTCAAAGGTAATTATCATGATTCATTAGTGAGTGTGTTTTTTTTTCGGTGTTGCACCGGAAATGTACATTTTTCAAGGATTCCATAAAATCCATTGTTCATTTTTTTGTTGTTGTTGCTTTTCATAAAACATATGCAGGTATATCGGTCGTATGTGCGCAAAAACCGAGGAGAATGGTGCAGTAGATTCGCTCGAAATGCCAGCGCCAACAACATCTGGAGGACGAACAAGACGAACGGGTCTGCTGACTGTTATGGAGCGAAACCCACCAGGTTTGAGCAAAAAAAAGTTTTATTTCATCGCTTTCTCATTGCTAGACACATTGCATGCGATAAAATACACTGAATATATTACTATTACACCATTTCCCATTTTCATGTATATTATGTACTTCACACACATATTCAACTCACATTACATAAGCTATTAACGCCACTAATATTCACTCCTACCACACCACCCCAGTCCTCGATTTCTTTTCTTCTTATTTTATTGATTATATTTTTTTTCTTATCTCTTTTTATTTTACCAAAGATTTTGTTATTGATATTCTGTTTTTCTTTTGATTTTTTTTTTCTTTTTTTTTCTCCATTTGTGTGCTTTGGTTGGAATATTTAAACATATTATCATTTAACAATTGGCGTTGTATAATCGAAAAAACAATACCGGAAATGCAAAAAATGTGCACCACCACCAAAAACACGCAAATAATTACATTGTTCATACGTTTGAATTTGAATGAACAAAAAAAAATGAAATAAATTCAACGAATGTGACAAATCACAATCGCTTCAAACACTCACTAACACTCGAACAACAACAAAATTATGACACGCGCAAAATACAATTTTGCAAAAAAAACTTAAAACAGTCATAAGTGATGAGCTCATTCGTGAAGTTGAAACTCGTATGAATCGTAATTATTTGCCACCTGCACTAAAATTGCCTAATTCCAATAATGCTGGCGTACACAGTCCGCCCACTGTTGCTTCATGTCCCGCAACAAACTCTTCGGCTATCCTAACAACCCGAAGACCATATAATTCACGCGCATGCAAACCACACTTGCCGACCGTTCAAGAAGTTGGTAAGTTTTTGTTCCACATTATTATTTTTTTCGATATTTACCCAGCATAATCATGATTTTTTCGTGAATTAAGTTTGAACCATCCATTCTTTTATTTTTTATATTGCGGTGCTTGAAGTTGATTTTATGTGTTAAAACATTGATTAGACTGAAAAATTAGATGAAACACGTAGATCTTGAAGTAGCTTTTCGTAGAAATTTGCTTTATTTCACGCATAGTTGTTGGAATTAAACAAAGAGCGATGCATTGCTTGTTGAAATGCAACAAAAAGAATAAAACAGAATTGTACATCGCGATCATTAAGATTAATATTCTGTGAAAGTCACAAGGACAAAGGTGATGATTCCAAATAATTTAGAGGAGGAATGAGAAATGGTCCGAAACGGTAAAAGTCTATCTAGTGTAGTTACGAAATTAAAAAGAGGTTTTTGATCAAAATTAATACGGGGCAACATATGATTCAAAAGTTTTTAGACTAAATTCAGGCGTTTATTGCGCTAAATAAACAAAAATAAAAATGTCATCCAATGCACATAGGAGACTTAACGGGACTTCTACTCTACTGTCAAACACAATTTGCACAAAAATTTCCATTCGCGATGGCGTACGAATTGGATTTGCGCAAGTCTGTCTCAAACTGTTTTGGCAGACTAAGTACAAACGAAATTCTTCGAGTGTTCAAAGACAAGCCAATCTCGCGTGCAACTATATTTAGTGTTTTAAGCGATTGCCGGGAAGGTAAGGAACCAGAAAACAAAAAGAAATCAGGTCGCCCACCAAAACTAAGTGTTCGGACAACGAAAAGTTTGCTGTCAAGTTCCAAAAACAAGGTTGGTCAATCAACACGGCGATAATCGCGGAAATTTGGTATTTCACAATCAGCTGTCCATCGCATTTTGAAGAAAAACAACGTTTTTCATCGAAAACGTAAGCGAGCACCAAAATACACACCGAGACAACTCGAAAAAATACCAAAATATTGCCGTGCACTTCGTGACAAACATTTTTCAAATGGAAAATTCATCATTTTGGATGATGAATCTTACTTCACATTTTCGCACCATAAATTGAGTGGAAATGATGGCTTTTACACTGAAAACATTGAAGCAACACCAGACAATGTTAAATTTGCCGGTAAGTCAAAATTTGAGCCGAAGGTGTTGGTATGGTTGGCCATCTCATCGAAAGGTGCTTCAACCCCAGTTATTCGACCACAAGGAGCCAAAGCAATCAATGCTGACATTTATATTGATCAATGCTTGCCGAAACTGAAGCGATTCATTGAAAACCATCACGCCCGAGACGAAATAATGTTTTGGTCTGATCTTGCAAGCAGTCATTATGCGAAAAAAACATTGGATTGGCTCACTGAGCAAAATATACCATTTGTACCGAAAAAAGACAACCCACCAAACATTCCACAGGCACGTCCAATCGAAGATTTCTCTTAAAACTCTCAAACGTAAGGTGTACGAGAAGGGCTGGGAAGCCAAAGACTAGCAACAATTAGTTGGAAGGATTAAGCAAAAGTTGAATGAAATCGACAAATCGGTCTGTCAAAGCATGATTTTGAAGGTTCGACGCATACTGCGAAAAATCGAAGACAATGGCCCGTTAAGTGTACTGTTAATGTGTTTTTGGATTGCCTATGAATAAAGCTAGCTACCACTGAGAAAAATTTTCAAATTGCTTTTTTGGTGTTTAAATGGCATTCGTTTGAATTTGTCTAAAAACTTTGGAATCATATGTTAGGGCTACGGAGTCAGGCTCTCAGATTTTTTTAGAAAGAGGTAATCGGGACCTTTGGAAACTGGGTCAAAACCTATGGAGTTTTAAAGGTTTTTTTGAGATGCTGTTTAATTTGTTACATGTCGTATGATGACATGAACTAATGGATAGAAGTTCCTTTAATTCCTCCCCAAAACACAGAAAATTTTTCTTGATTTCATTTCAGTTTAGTCGCAGCTTATTGATTTCTTTCATTTTTTGTTTCTATCGATAAATAGGTCGCTATAGTCCGGTTCGACGAGCATCGGAAGGTTCAAAGTATCAACCGTTAATCCATGGTCCATTGCAAGAATGTCAGCAGCTAATTCAACAGCAAAAAAGTTTGGCACATCGAAATTTGTCATCAACACAAAGTCCACCGTTATTGGATAATTCTTCCAGTTTACCAGGTATCATATCGAATGCTCTCTAATTTGTGTGTTTGTGTGCGATGCATTTCAATGAATTAATTTTATTGATGATTATCTGTTTTTAGCATCGCCAGTTCATGTGTGTCGAAAAACGGACGAAATCGATATACCAACGGAAGCAATGACAACCGTTTATACGACGCTGGAGAAATTGGTGGCCGAAAGTCAAATTACAGTGGATTTATGCCAACGTATTGTGCTCACACGTAAAATGCCTATTGAATTGGCCCAATATTTGGGTGTTGATGTTCAAAGTCATCAACAGCAGCAGCAACAGCAACAACAACAACAAATGCCAACAACGCCATCAACCATACCAGTTAGCTTTAATCGTGGTTTTTTCACTGGTTGCAGTAGTAGTGGCCTAAGTTCACCAAACTATGGTGCTGCATCGCCAAATCATAGCGGCAATTTATCAACATCACAGAATTTCTCAACGACATTTGAAACTAACAGTGCTAGTCAGTCGCCAATTCATTACAATTTAAGCGGTACATCGTCACCAAATCCATATTTGAATGTAGCGAATGTATCACCAATGCATCAAATTACCAAAGGAATAAGCGGTTTAACAACGGGTGGTGGTTCAATAACGCGTGGCACATCGCTTGCATCAGAAACAGCATCAAATCAACCGTTGGATTTAACAACCGAAAATAAGTAAATTGAAAAATAATTAACATCTTTCAAAGTGAAAAATTCTAACATTGAGTCTCGATTTCTTTTTGTAGTAGTTCATTGAATGCCGCACAACCATCAGCATCGGTGGCAGCGTCTGCGGCTGCAGCAGCAGCAGCAGCCGCATCTGCCATGAATGCACCAGTCGGAACGTCCGGATGGTATGTGCCAGCACAATTTTACGATTTAAAACCGTTAAATTTATCGCCGGCTCAACCATTACGCATTGTACCAACACCGCCGGCGTCGCCAAATCTGTGCCTCACCATTATTCAAGAGGAAAATCCAAACATGTCTTGCCAGACACAAACGACCGATGCTAATTATTTACAAACATCGCCAATACTAAATGCAGACGATTCAAGTATGATGCCACATTCGCATCCACAAATTTCGGTGACTGATGTTCAGGGTTCAGAAGTAACGTTGGTTGCACATTCCGATCAAAGTCACGACAGCGAGGACTCGTTAGATGCTCAAAGTTCGATGACAATGCAAGGTTTAATTATAAGCGAACCGTCAAATGATATGCCATCGATATCGCGTGGCGTTGGACGAAAATCAAGTTTGGAAATTGAGCATCGCCAAGAGACGTATGAACGACGCGGTAGTGATAAATCGTTGGGGTTTAGCGACGATTCGCTGAGCAATGATTCGAATATTGTGTCACCGGGACACGAACAATCGGTCGCTAGTTCAGGTTTTAAAAGTGGCGATTCGGAAATAACCGAATCACGTTTATCGCCCGATTCACTATCCGATAGCCGACGAATGTCCGAAGAATGCTATGAACTACCATTGCCGCATGAATGTTCTGACCTCGATTCATCGCGTATTATCGAGATTGTTAAGCAAACAATCGACTTGAAATTGCCACCAAAGTGCTTCATCGTACATAATACCATTCAAGAAACGAACAATTATGGTGCATCAAGCAGTAGCAATAGCACCACAATGAGTGCCGGCGTTGCATCCGCAAATAGTGACGACTGCTCAGACATGCCATTTTCATTGGACATTTCAAATTTGAGCCTTGAATACTCGGGCGGTTTACAAATCGAATTACAAGTTTATGGCGGAAAAAGCAAAGATAATTGTAATAAAGGCATCAAATTGCGCCGAATATCGGGCGATCAATTTGAATATGGTAAATTATGTCAGCAATTAATTAGCTCATTGACTGTATGACTCGAACAAAACCGCTGAGAACATTGTCTTCGAAATGAAGACATGGGATTGTGTTTAGTGCACGTGTTTTTCTCTCTTTCTCTCTCGCGCGTTTAAAATCATTGGTTCTTTTTTTTTCGTTGCATATTAAGTTGATTTTCAATTGTATTTCGACAGTTGATTGATCTTCATTTTTCTAATTGTGCGATATTTTCTTTCTAAGTATGACGATATCGACAAATAGTTTGATAAATTTATACAATTATTTAAAAAAAAAAATGAGAGAGAAGAGAAAAAAACGACGTAATTTTCAGTTCGATTTTCTTTTTAATTTTTTTTTTTTAATTTTTAATCGAACATTGTTTGATACAAATTCGTACATCAAAAGATAAAAGAAGAGCTAAGATAAGATAGACAAAAAAACGAATTCAATAAAAAAAAAAATTATTATTGAAGAGATATATACATAGTAGATATAAAAACTAGACTATAAACTATGAGCACATTTTCATTTAGATACGAGGGTTGCTCCATAATTTTTTTTAAAAACATATATAACACAGTTGTTTTTTGTCGAAAATGGTTTTATTGTTTTTCAAAATATTCCCCGAGATGATCGATACACTTTTGCATTCGATGAAACCATTTGTCATAGCATTCGTGCCACTCCGAAAGTGATATCTCCAAAACGTGTGTTTTGAACGCTTCAACTGCTTCTTCTGGTGTCGAAAATCGTTGACCACGTAGTTTTTTCTTCACGCTTGGGAACAAAAAAAAGTCATTGGGTGCCAGGTCAGGACTGTACGGTGGATGACCCATCAGTTCGATGTTTTGACCGGTCAAAAATCGAGTAGTTTGAAAAGATGTGTGAGAGCTCGCATTATCGTGATGAAGAATTATTTTGCGACGGTGGTTGTTTTTTCTTATTTCACCAAACACTTCGGGCAAACAAATGGTGGTATACCAATCAGAATTGACGGTCTTACGATCCTCTAGTGGAACGGTTGCCACATGACCACTTATCGCGAAAAAACAGGCGACCATTTGCTTCGCAACACTTCGAGCTCGAACAACTTTTGTTGGGTTATCTTCACTTTGAAAGACCCATACAGTCGACTGCTGTTTAGTTTCGGGCTCATACGCGTAGATCCATGATTCGCCACCAGTGACGATTTTATTAACGTCTTTTGAAGCACCACGATTGAATTTCTTGAGCATTTCTTTACACCAACTCACACGAGCCATTTTTTGTTCATCGGTCAATTTATGTGGGATCCAACGAGAGCAAATCTTTTTTACGGCTAAATGTTCATGCAAAATTGTATGTATGCTGTGGGATGAAATGCCCAAAGATGCCTCAATCTCACGGTAGGTCACATGACGATCTTCCATAATCAGTTTTCTGACAGCATCGATGTTTTGTGGCACAACAGCCGATTTTGGACGACCTGTATGAAACTCGTCTTTGAGCGAACTACGACCGCAACGGAATTCTCGGTACCAGTTATAAATTGTCTGAAGGGTTGGTGCTTCATTGCCAAAGGCCAAATGAAGTCGATCGAAACACTGTTGTTGAGATAATTTACTTCGAAAATCGTAGTAAATCATTTTACGAAAATCTTCACGTGTAAAATTCATTTTTTTGTTGAGTCGCAGTTTACCAGTCACTGTAAACAATACAAATAGCGTTCGTACGACAAAAGGTTCAGGGCACGAATACATACCAAAACATCAAACTTTACGAATATGACAATGGTTTACATCGGGCAACACTATAAGTACCATTTTAAAAAAAATTATGGAGCAACCTACGTATAATGCAAAAAATAATAAGAAAAAAAACGTTTTAAAGAGAAATAAAATGGAAAACTGTTGTTTCAATATTTCATGAACGCACATTGTGGGAACAAAGAAAACACCGTAAGAGAGAGAGAAACAGAGAGAAAGGAGGATACATTTATATGTATCTGCGTATATTGTACGATTTAATGGAATTTGATGTGATTTACGTGAAATTTAATGTACAATGTGATTGAAAACAGCGAAATTGCGAACGAGACGTGACCATATGATGAAGCTGCTGCGAAAGAGAGATTATGTGTGTGTGTGAATGATTTTTTGGCCTACAATTTATGCGCTACGGGTAATGTGTGAGTGCCATCATAACTACTTCAAAAGACATATCGCACGCGTTTTTTTTTGTTCGTCTACGTAAGCTGCCGTTCAATAAACAGCATACAAATGCCGAACATTAACGAACCAACACGTATATCGGTGAATCGACTAAACTATGCATCCAAATCGTTTTCAGTTGTCTTTTATTTCCTAGATAAGTTAATAATTTGATGGAACCACAAGAGAAATGTAGAAAAAACAAAGAAAAATTAAAAAACGAAAAAAAACTTCGAATTCGAATACGATTTATAATATGAGAATGTCAATTCACAAACTTCTTTCGAAAATTTAAATAAAATGAAAGACAAAATTAGACATACATGTACCTAGCGAGAAACAAGAATTTTATTGTAACAAACAGGAGAGCACTTCTGAAATTCGCTTTATTTTGCTCTCTCGGCAAATAAAAAACACACACACATTTAACATTTAGACATTTTAGATGATAAGACAAAACAATTTATGATTTAATGATTACTTAGTATGATGTAGTTAGTCAAAAAAAACTAGTAGAAATGAAAGATATCAATTGTGTATAGATAAGCCTTTTCAAAATAAAGAGAGAGAAAAATAGTGTGGTCACTCATCCGTGCGTGCATGGGAATCTAAAGAAATCAAATAGCGCACAATAAGTCAAACATTTCAAACCGGTCGAAATAAAACAGATTTTATGCACAAAATACGGCGTTTAAAAACTTCCATTTGTCAATTCGATTGATCTTCAACTGGAAGACAGAACAAAAAATACCGTGTTTTTTGTGTCGCTTACAAGCAAATTATGCATTTAGTTCATTTTGCATTGAATTCAGGCTGAGCCTCTGTTCAATCACACTTGCCTCAAATTATCCATCATTTATGTTCTGACTCATTCATTCGTACATGGTGTATCGCCCATTTTGAATAGCCACTTAGCTGCAATCAAAACAAACAATTTTATTTCGAAAAAAAAACACACACATTTAGTATACGTGGAGCAGATAGAAAAGAAATCATTTTAAAATGAAACAATTAAAAAATGTCGTTCGAATGGAAATTCGAATTGCATATTTTTAACAAAAAAATTTAATAATTAAAAAAACAACAACAAGAAGACTGCTGTGATTTAGAAAAAAAGAAATAGAATGAGAATTATGCCTTGAACAGATACATAAGGAGCTGCTTTTTTCGATACCATCGAAAAAATGTGGATTTTTGAATCAAAAATTACTATCGCAATATGCAGATTGCATTAAAACATCCATCGTTCAGACCATAATTTCAATTTATTTGCGAAAATAAGAAAATTTTACATTGTAAATCAATCTGGATGCGAAATTAATAAATAATAAATTCATTCGTTGATGTGTGTGCCTAATGCACAGTATTTTATTCGACTCATCTGGTGGATTTTATGATTGAACAATTATATGCCACAAATCTGCGAATCAAACAATATTTTTCTTATTACTTCATAATCCAGATCGATTTTACCAACTTTTTTTCACATTTTAGATTTTTGAATCAATTTTCGCCGTCTGACAATTGATGTTTTTTTATTTTGCAACGACACTTTTGCTACAATCACAGAGATGAAATATTCAAATAAATTGAAAGGAAACAAAATGTTCAAAATTGACGATGAAAGAACAAAAATGCAAATAATGGTCGATGGATGAATATGAGCCGATTAAAACTCAATCTGAACATCAGTTTTTATTACAAAAAATATCCATTTCGTAAACAGCTGAAAATTAATTCAAAAATCCAGTATGTCAAAAATCGTTGAAAGAAGTAATTTCATTTTTAGTAAATAAAGATTCCTCAAAACATCAAATCAAACAATTATCTTCTTCTTTTTTCTTTTACAAAATCTTGCGCAAAACAAAAAGTGTCACTATAAAAATCAGATTCTCTACTTCCTTGCATGATTGGGGAGAGTTTAAATTTATTATATGAGGTAAAATTGGTGTATTTATAGTTTATGCTTCTTTGGAAAAGCAAAATATTCTCTTTCAAATTTATATCGATCAAAATCATTTTTACTTCATTCATTTTTAATTTAAATCAACATCTTCAATATAAAAAGTGAAGAAGTGAACAGACTTTTCTGATTTATTTCTGTGAATGCGTTCCACAGCACAAACATTTGGCGGGAGTTGAAATGTCATATAGGTTAGTGTCAATAATACCTACATAACCTCAAACGCAATGCAATGGTGTACACAACGTTTGTTGTCAAACAATAAAAAACTTTCTAACTGAAACGCAGTTGACATCGTAACGAAACATTACTCAAACATAACGCATTACTCTTATAATCGAATTTAAAAATAAAAGTAAAAATGGATGGTAAGTTTTATTTTGCAAATTTCTATATATAAACAATATGCATGACTGTCCAATAATCCAAAATATGCATGACAGTTGATCATTTCGTCTGTTCTTAATCTGTTAAAATTAATGTAAATGTGTAAATCATTTCCAGTTGAATTTGCGCCGCAGTGCATATATATCGGATCCAATAAAGTCAAACCAAAAGGAAATATTCAATTCACAACAAAAGAAATCCGAATGGTTCTACAAGACTCGACCACCAAATCGATCGAAAGCATTCAAATACCTATTAATTTCGTCGTCAAATGCATCTATCACATGGAAATCAAAATAATATTAATGATTTACGTTCGTCCAACTTATGGCCAAATGGTTTGCGAACGAATGCACATAAAACCAGCCACACATTGTATGTAAACCGAGAAAAAGAAAACAGAAGAAATTTTTTGATGTAAAAAAAAATAATCAAATCAATTCTTCTTTTAGCCGAAAATCCGTATAACAATGTGCTTATTATGGAAACTGAATCATCTGATGCTGTTTGTAAAGCAATCAAAGAACTATTTTATTTTTGCGATGAGATTTCACATGATGAGATTGAAAAGATGACAAATAAGATAAAATCGCGCAAACGTAAAATAAGTGATCGTGACCCGGACAATTGTCTTCAATATCCACCAACTGGTAGTGGACGACTTTCAATATATGTCAATGACTATGCATCTTTGGCATGCGATGAATATTTGAATGACAATATTGTCAACTATTACATTCGATATTTAACGTGTGAAGTTTTGACCGATGAACAGAAAAAAGTCACACACATTTTTGATTCATTTTTTTATCAAGTGCTAACGAACACACCGTCCACCGATCGGAAGAATTCGAAAAAAGAAAAACTTGCACGCCTTGACAGATGGACCAAAAATATAAACATCTTTGATATGGATTTTATCGTCGTGCCAATTAATCAGAGTAAACATTGGTATTTGGCAATTATATGCTTTGCCGGACTCGGGGAAGCAAATGCAAAATCGACTGTCAAATATGGTAAACGTCGAAAGACGTCCAATGGTGGCACTGAAAGCGATACGGATGAATCATCAACAGAAATCGTCAAAAAGTATGTATTTACAAAAGCTTTTCGTTAATATTTCGGTCAGGATAAAAAAAAATTGAATCATCTTTTGCTCACGCTTTCTGAAAGAACGACTTTTATGCAACAAAAATGAAAGTCATAAGTATATCAGTATTTTTTTAGTCGTTCACGTCGTTCTTGAGAGCAAGTGGTGAGGTGTAAAGTTTGTGAAATTTTGAAAAAACTTTCTATTTCGGATTTTCAGGCCATGCATTTTGATATTTGACTCATTATCGGGTGGACGATACAAGGAGACCACAGTACTTCGCGAGTTCCTGAATTTAGAATATAAGAAGAAGGTCAATAGTGATGGCACATTTAAATTTGATTCTATCAATATACCTGGTCACGTCGTTAAAGTTCCACGTCAAGAAAATACATCGGATTGTGGACTTTTCATGTTACATTACATTGAACAATTTTTCACGGTTTGTTTCAAATTATTTTCGAAAGAAAATCAATGCATATTCTATGAATGTGAAAGTTGTTTAAATACAGAAATGTATTATTACATATAAAGTGTGTTGCAATTAAAAGAAATCAAATAGTGAAATTACTTCATCCACAAATAATTCATTTAAAAACCAATTTTTATTAAATTCTTTGAATGCGTTTCGTTTCTTTACAGACTTCTGCAATCAAGAAATTCGAGTTTCCAATAAAAAATTTGGAAAATTGGTTTGAACCTTCAGCGGCAGCACGAAAGCGTCGCGATATTGCTGATCTCATTAAACGCCATATGAGTGACGATATTGAAAACAGTTTTTCGATGATTAACTTACCGGACATTCAATTGCCCTCATAAGATGATAATCCAATCCCATCACATACTTTTGATCATCGATTTATTTTATACTAATATTAAACTATTTATTATTAAGTGATTTTTTCTTCTTCAAATTTTACTTTGATTGAAGCGGTGTGATAAACGGAATAAAATTGAACAACTTGTTTTTTCTATAAATTATTTTGAGAAAAGAATGTGTCTTATTTCATTTGTTTTATGTGCAGGAGAAAACAGCGCAAGGAATTCCCATGATTGAGCAACGAAAAAAGTTGAAATTGGATAATTTTAAATGACCTAAAAATATTGTGCTTGAATATGTTTCTTCCTTTATATTTCTCTATCTCTCTGTTACTAACGACCTAAAGACAATGAGTAAATCAAAAACGGAAGCTAAGCACAGTGACATTGGCGAAAAAAAGGACAACAACGATTTTTAAGGTCTTAGAGATTATATCAGTGCTCATGCAGCCGTAACGATGGCTACAATATTCCCACAGTCAATTTATAATTGATGCAACCAAACCGACACCACATTTTTCCTTCACATCTCTCTCTCTCTCCCTCTCTCTCTCTCTCTCTCTCTCTCTCTCTCTCTCTCTTTTGTAGTGCTGTGCAGTTGAATTCTTGTATTCTTTGTTTTTATTCGCTTACAGTTTGTTTTCCTTGCCGCAAAAAAATCATATATTCAAAGTATATTATACATTGGTTTTTTTTCAGCTCCTTGAAAATTGAGCATTTCAAGTATTTCAAGTGCGCAAATTATACGAAGTATTTTGTAATTTTGTTGCTGCTGCTGTGCGTGTGCATGTTGTGAATAACACAAAAAGAGTTGGTAAAGTGGTAAAAACGAAGGATTGATTCTCACACAAATGCCGCGGAAGGTATACGTATGAAAAAGAACCAAAGAAGAGGAAATTACGGACAGTTGCTTTGCGTTGTGTTCATCGTCAATTATTGAATGCGCTTCTTCCGTTGCGTGGTGTGTATGTATTCCGTTCTGAGTTCGTGCAAGGACAGCGATTAAACGTAGCTGTTGATGATGGTGAGATTAAGCAAGTTGAAAATGTGTATCGTCTGATTTTAAAAAGATTATCGCATTTAATAGAGTCTCAACTTTCCCATCAATTCCTTAACTGAAGTCGCTTGTGTTTTTTTTTATTACATAATAATTTGAGTTCATTTTCGTTAAAATTATCCGACCAAAACGCAACGAGTGCAGATGTTGGCATCAAAAATTGGATTTTACCGAAACGTTTTTTTTTTTTTCTTTTCTTCTGTGGCTTTGACATTGATACATTGAATTCGAATAAGTCACAAATACACGCATGTAACGATCGTTCAAATGTACAAAAAAAAATGTTTTCAAAAATGATGACGGATTTGCGGTTTGTGTGCGAAGTTGCAGTTGTGCAACATCAACCCCATCTCATCATAAAACTGCACTTTTCTATTGTTTGCACCGGGCGTTTAATCAAGCTTATACACAAGCCACTGTAACCGTCGCTTTTTTTCGTGCATGCGCTACTCGAACTTTGTTGAATGGAAACACGAACAAAAAAAAAGAAGGAGATTGATTTTCAAAGAGTTTGCATGCCACGACATAACATTAAATTTCATTCATAAGTGAAACATAATTGTACCGATACTATTATTAATTTTGGTGTTTATGTCATATTTTTGATGGATGGAAATATATTTCTGTCGTCTCGGTCGTCCCTAATATTCCGATTAAGACTGGTCGAATTGCAAGACATTGGCATTCAATGTTCATTAAATTCATATTGCATGTCTATGGATTCTGATTGATCACCGTCATGCATATCACAAGACAAACCGAGAATGAAGAGAGAGAGAGAGAAAAGAACATATCAAGCCATCATCAATAAAGGTCTTAATTACAAACCGCATTCACCACGATCGTTTTTTTAAAAGTCATTATTCTACGTGCAATTGCATTGTGTACGTGTTTTGCTACAATTTCATTTATTCTCTCGTTCATTTGGGCCGCAACGGGTTTTTTGTGTCTCCTTTGTTCGATTTTGTTCTTGGAATAGTTGCCATTTTTGTGAATACATAAAACAAAATGTTGTAAGTATTTGAATGTCTGTTGATCTCTGCGATAGGAGTCTAGTCTAGTTGATAATTACCATACATTCATTTGTATTTTTTTTTAAGTCCATGGCTCTAATCTTTTTAAAAATTATCTCTGTAAGCGTCTTTTGTACGATTGAAGTAAAGCAGAAAAACTCATAACAGATAACAAAGAAATGTAGCATATCATTGAATCTTTCTACACTGTATTCATAATTTGAAATGAAAAATCTCTTCAGAGTTTGATGATTTGATAAAAATTATTTAAAAAACAATTTAATTTAATTTATAAAAGTAATTTATTTCATTCGTTTCGTAATGAATGTACAACGTTATTTCAATAAATCTTGACGATTTAAAGTTTGAATATTTCAAAAAGAAAGGTATGACATTATAATACAAATCTTAACTTTTGGTGGTGCCACGAACACATTTAGTTAGAAATACAGCGAACAAGTCATCGATATACTGGCACAAAAAGCAACATCGCAATCACAATCACAATCACAATCTGCAAAACAATTAAATACAAATTGATTTTATTCCGAAATGAATTGAAATTTTCATATTTTCTTTTATCGTAATAGTTATGCCCCGTAAAAAGGGGCCGCACGTCATTCTACCTTTAGAACTTCCATGGTGACCATTATCACCATCGACCTTAATCACTGAAATATTCAATAATAATCACATTTAAAAAATGATTCGTTTGCAAAAAAAAAAAAAATCAAAATTGAAGATGGTTACATTGCACCACGGGCTGTGTCGCAGAAGGCTGAACTTGAACCGGCGGTTGCAACATTGCGCTTTTCGTTGTTTCTTCGTATGATGGCACAAGCTGTGGCACAAATCCATATTCTCTATTCAATTCCATTTTGGCGCACTTCTGAAAGAAACGAAGTTTCATTCTTATTTTTTTCTTTTAAATCCAAATAACATCACAAAGTTAGTAGACAATGAGCATAGCTCATTTCTGAAAACACTTAATTAGTGATAATAACTGATTTCTTTGATTAAAGTAAAATATGAGCATATAATACGCTTTTTGCATGAAAATTATTACTTACCGTATTTTATTTTATTTGTTTGTGCACAAAAAATCGACGCTTTCAAAAAAACTATTGACTTCTTACTGAGTATTTTTAAAATTTCGCGATGCAAAAACTACTCGTATTTTCGATATAATAATAAAAGACTAATCACCCAAATTGTAATGAATTTTTGGAGAAATGACAAGACATATTCTATGCATAATGTACTATGCATAACATAATATGTCTTTATTTATGCCTACAGTATGTCATTTTGCACTAAAAAAGCATTACGGGCAGGCATAAATAGCTTACACTTGGCTTATTGGCGCTTGTTTTCAGATTTAGACGAAAAGTAGTTTATCTTATTTTTTACGGAGATTTGAAATGAATGTATAACGTCATTAAACAACCAAGGTGTTGGCTGAATATTCCAGGAAAAAATTAATCAACATGATTCATGAAAAAACCCGATCTTTTAACGAGTTTATGATAAGTACTTGATCCAAAGCCTGCAAAACAATTAAATATTAGTTGAATTTATTCTGAATTGAATTGAGTTTTTATATTTTTTTTACCAAAATAAACCCTTTTCACAATAATACATAAAAATCAAAATATTTTTTCTTTAAATATATAACGAATATATTTGATCTAAATAAAAGATATTGGTCATCGAATACAATCGAATTTTAGTTAGACGCAATTGAATGTCTGAAAGAATACATATATTATAATGGCATGAAAAAATATTATATATTTCATAGTGTGATAGTTATGTGAGTTGTTGCGATGAAAAATGGTTGATTCTCCACTCTATGTATTTCGGATGGATATCCAAATACCGTAGATTATATGTGCAGTTGCGTTAAATATCCAGATATTCTAAAATATCTCGGATGGATATCCATCCGAAATACATAGACTGGTTATATGGGTATTGAAAAAATCTACTCGTATTTTTTCGTCGTAGTAATCAAATATCATTCATTAAAATAAAAAATATTGGGCATATTTGAAATGAATGTACTTTTTACTACGTCATTTCGACTAATCTAGACGATTTAAAGTTTTAAAATTTCTAAATCAACGACATGACGAATCTCAATTTCAAAACAATCATCCGGACATTTTCGCATTGATAGCACTTTTTTTGTCATTTATCAAAAAAATGGCACAGATATTGTAGTTCGATATTGAATGAAATGGACAATAAACTATTTCATGGGCTTGAACATTCAATGTAAAGAAGAATTATTTCAAAATGTAAAGTGAAGAAATGAGAAGAGCATCGTGTCTTTTTGTTCATTTCTGTGAGTCACACAAGAGTTAACAAATGAAAGTGCGCCTATCAATTGAGCCAAAAACTTTTGTACGTATCAATTTCAATGATTAAAATGTGTGAAAACAACTGGAAGTATGTCATTCACCGAATCATACAAAATGGGGTTGACAAATATTGTCGATCTTTTTAAAATTAATGATATAACGAACGATTTTAACGACATGATAATGGTACTGTTTCGAACGATCTTCGAAAATCAGAGACGAAAAAAAACACTGTGAAGAGAAAATCATTACGATGCCGTAAAAAAGAGAGTTTATTGAAGTGTCGAAAATGAAAATAGCGAATGACAAAACAGTCAGTCATGTCGTTTTTACAACGATCAAAAAATGTAATTTTTCATATGATTTTATTGCCCATTTTTTCGAAACAATATTATATTCGGTTAAGTTTATGTGACATGTCGAGACATATTTTGAGTATCCGAGTTTCTGGATCGCAACACTGTTACACATCGATGGTTATTCAATCTCTCTCTATCTCTCTCTCGTTCTCTTTTGATAAGTGCGTGCGTTGTAACACCAGTGTTTTTGGCCCCGAACAATGTGTGCAAATGCGATTCAATAGGACCATTTTTCCAATATAATTGAATTGTTTGCTGAACAAACGTCGAATACGGTGAATAAGATCATACAACCGAAATGAACAACAGCATCAAAACTGCTGGTTATATGAGGCACGCATGTACTGAGTATGTGAGAGACTGTGT